GCCCACTCCTAGCACGGGGAAATTGCTGGGTAGAAGTGGCTGCGTGGGAACAACCGAGGGACAAAAGCACGTGCCGCCTTCACGTGGCTGGATGCCACGCGCTAGTTAGGGCAGGGGTTGCAGCCGCCGCTGGCCTCTGAGCGGCCACAGCGATGGCCCGCAGTCCTCGCAGGAGAGCACGGGGAGGGGGACTATGTCCGGGGAAACGGCCTGCAGACGGGGCTAGCTGAGAAAAGCACGACCTACCTTGGGATTTGGGCAAAACATCGAGGCCAAAAAGGCTAACTCTTACTTTTAATGCCTGGATTCAGCAGTACCAAGGTTGAAGCGTAAACGAGCAGCAGCAGGTAGCTGCCGTCTGTGGCCCGGCGGCGCTGGTCCATCGGACTTCTCCTGCTCCTGCCTGAGCGCAGCCCCTCACCCCCGCTGCCGCCTCGGCAAACGTCTCGCTGCGGGCGTCCACGGAGGCTGCAGGCTCACCTGCAGCTTGTCCTGCTCTTCATTGTCGGCCACGGAGGCATCTCAGCAGAGCCCAGGCTGAAACGATGAGCCAAGAGCTCATAGGATCCAGCCCAAAGGTCCGGGTACCCGTGGCCAGCTTTAGAAGAGCAGATAACAAAGTGCATGGGGGAAGTCAGCCTGTCTTCACCTCTCCATCTCTGGGTATGTCAACATTTCATTTTTCACACTTTTCTTCTTGCCAGCTCTGCAGCGTTTCCACAGTCTTTTCCAGAGCAGCCGCGCAGGGCGGCAGGCCTGGCCAGCAGGCAGACTCACTTCTGAAAACAAATTTCATCTGATCATATTAATTCTCTGTCCTTTCATCTCACTTTGGCTGGAGCTTTCCTCTGGCTGTTACCGCACCGGTGGAGGGAAACCCTATTGGAGGTGGATGAGTTCACTCAGTGGGAACAAGGCACCCACAGGTCCATCTCACCGACAGCCTAAATCCAGCGTAAAATCAGAGGAAAAATTCTGCTGGTGTTTCCTGCCTGGTGTTAGGACGCAACACCTCTCTTCCTGTTCCCTGTGCAGAGCATAGCTCCCCTTGCACGACTGTGCGACAGGTTTTCCTCCCTTATCCCATGGCCCTTCTTAGCCTTAGGCATTTCGGGCACTGCTGGATAAATGAAGCAAAGATAGGTAGAGCGTGGATGAGAATGAGCGTCGGAGCCGAAGCCTGGGGCTGGGAGGTGAGAAGGGAAGCCCCTGGCCTGTGTCCTCAGCTCTGCATTGCCTCGTGGTGTCATCTTGAGCAAGTGACTTATTTCTGCTGCTCTTTTCCAGGGGTTGGTGTGAAAAATGGTTCCCTCTTCCCAGTCAGCACCTTGGTGGGTTAAAGCTGCTCCCCGCGCCGCGGCAGGCGTGGATTGCAGAGCAGTTGTGGTCACCCGCCTGCAGGGAGGAAGGCAGCAAGTGCGAGACTGCCTTTTCCCAGCTCTGCTACTGACCCGTCGCAAAACCTTGAATGCACTCCTTCATTTTTCTGGATAAAATCAACCTTTCTCATCTCCCTGTGACAGGGTGGAGGCTGCATTATTCACCTCCTGTGATGGGAATTGCTGTCCCACTGGGGGCACATGCAAAAGCTTGGTGCTCTGCACACTGCTTGGGGTGGGAGGATGAAGCACCAGGGTCGGGCAACACAGTCGCCTCCTCAGATCAGCTGCCGAGCACCTGCGCGAGGCCAGAGCTCACGGCCCTCGCTGGGGGTCTCTGGGTGGGGACAAGAAGAGCCGGCGGGCACTGCGACGATGCGCTGCCTCCAGCGGCCTTGGCAGCCCCTCTGCAGGCCCTGCTCGGGGCGCCAGCCCAGCTCTGCAGCCTGGCGCTGCTCATAAATGGAGGAGAAAATACTGGGGCGCCTTGGGACATCACAGTCATCGCAGAGGTGCCCCCCGTTGCTGGTAGCCCCTCACCCAGAGCAGGTAAGACACCAGAAATATTCATTTGTTTGTTTTGGTGAAAGCGCCCAGAGCAGGAAGGTGAGGCAAAGAACAGGATGTGTAACCTCCTCGCGGCTTCACCCGCCGGAGCTGGTCCTGGCCGAGGAGGCCTGCTGGGGCGGGTGACTCAGCCCTGGCCTTGCATGAAAGTAACAGGAGTCAAGGCAGAGGGGGAATTCATGTTTCTTAAATCCAGTTTTAACTGCACTTGTTGAATTCAGTGTTTCTAGAAGCAGTTTCTGTACTTCATTTATTTTTTCTGTAGGTATCAGGTAGCCTCCTGCTCCTCAGCAGTCCCAGCAGCACCAGAGGCTCTGCCTCACCCCCGACGGCAGGCGGCAAGGCCGGCTCGCCCGCCCTTGCTCACCGCCTGCGATGTTGCCCTGGGCAGAGCCTCTCTCGAATGAGGGAGCCGTTCATTTTAGCAAGATGGCTTTCAACACTGGGTGTCAAATCTAAGAACTGTGAAGAAATTGGTCTTAGCTGTTCTCTTCCAGCTACTTTTATGACTTTTCTGTCTCAATCTGAGCACTACATGCATCTTTCTTCTCACAGGCTGGGGCAGCGTTTCCTTCCAAAACACATTTCTTCCAAGCATCCAGATGGCATATCCTTTTCTCTTGCTCCTTTGCCCAGTCGCTCTGAGAACCAAGCGAGTCCTACAAGGTCTTGACAACGTTTTACACTGCTTGCTTACTTCCCAGCACTGCTTCAGTCCAGGACACTCCGCTTAGCTCGTCCTCCCAGTTTGCTTTATGCTCTGCAATATGGCACTGCAATGGCCAGCTGGGCACCGATGTGTGTCCTTTGAGACTCCCAGGTGAACTTTCTCGGAGATGGCTTCAAAATGACACCTAGAAGCTAACTGGTTGCTGTTCTCCAGGCACCTGGTCCCCTGCATAGTGCAGATAGTGCAAGATGCCCCAGCTCCCTAAGAGCCGGGAGACACCCTAGGACTGCAGACCTATCTCCAGGATGTTGCGCAGCCACAGTTTTGCCATTCCTTGCCTGAGGAGCAGTACCTGGGCCTGGTATTACTTGCACTGGGATTATTTTAACCCCAAATCCTTACACTAAAGACAAGACAGGATCATAGGGGGGGCTGCACTCAAATTGAGGGAGTGGGGTACTCCAGCCTACACAGAGAGCAGTCTCTTGTGAGGTATATAAAAATACTTCATAATCCCAAGTGAGGTAGCTGAATGGCATTATCCCATTCACAGATGGGAAAGGATGTAATTAGCTGAGGCTGTAGGAGTTGGTTTTGGAGCTAGGATTGCCTCTCAGGGCTCCCAGGCCCCTACCCTCTGTGCTAGACACAGTTTCTTAAGACAACCAAGATCATTCTTGGCCATCGGAGCACCAGGATGGAAAAACAAAGGCCAAGAGCCCTGAGAGCAAACAGCAGTAGAAACTGCAGCCTGGAATTGCACCCTAGCCCGATTTCAGGCACTGGGGTTCTATTTTTTTGCAAGTGCAAATTATCGGCTCCAAACTGCAAGAGCCAAACTAGAAAGGGAGGCAGGGTTGGTCTTAAATGTTTGTGTCACTTAATCTGCAGGATGTGCTTGGGACCTATCAGATACATAGATGAGAGAAATGTTGCGTTTGGGGTTTTTTTTCCAATATGCTGCTAAGACAGAGCCAGGTGCCAAAGGGGCACTGCGGGGCTCTCTGAGCACTCAGAGAAGGTCTTTCATGATCTCTGAGGGCAGGACTTCACCTGCCACATTTGCAGCACCCAGGCCAGACCTTTTCCTTGTAACAAGCACCATAACCTGCACAGTCCTCTTCAGGCCGGGCTGGCAAGCAGACCCGTCGCTCAGGATAGCCAGGGGAGCAGGCTTGGACGAAGTGTCGGGGGTCTGGGAGAGTTTGTAGCACTTGGGGTAATTACTGAAACATTCGAAAGTGTCGTGGCAGTTTCTGCAGGCCCCACGGTGGTCACCGAAGCCTGAGGAGAAGTGCGTCCTGCTCTCTCTGGGCTGCAGCGAGACGCTCGGGCACCCGCAGCAGAGGATGGTGCGGATGGCCTGGAGGAGCAGGATGTCTTTGGAAAGGAACTTCTGGAAGTTGGGCTTGAAGAGCAGATATACCAGGGGGTTATAGAGTGTTGAGGACTTGGCAAAGACGGCTGACAGCACGAAAGCCAGAGCCGGCACCTGGCTGGCATCTCCGAAGACTGCCCACAGGGCAACGATGGCATAAGGGGTCCAGGCAGCCAGAAAGCCCAGGCAGACAGCAATGCTCAGCTGGAAGAGAAGGAGACGGCGGTGGTGTGAGCCTCCTGCAGCGCATATGGGACACCAACCCAGCCCAAAAACCCAGTCCAAGGAAGACAACAGCTGCCATTTGCACTGGGACCCAGAAGAGCCAGCCCTAGCGAAAGGAGCCAGCTGATGTTCAGGCCTTCTGAATGCAGGGCCAAAAGGTACATCCTGCCCATAGGGTGCTCGTGGCTTGGGTTCAAACAGGAGCAGATACTGACAGGGGAAAGCAAACTGGACTGTGTGTCTGAGTCCCTCAAACCAGGCCCCAGTGTGTGCCTGTCTCAGTGTCCCCTCTCCTGCCCCAGCAAACCATGACCCCTGGGTTGGGAGAAGTGCTCCCCACATGCGCCTGGGAACCAATCATTGCATTCCTGAGAGAGTTTCTGATGAGGACCCACGCTGCCTGTTGGTGCTCGGGTGTGCGTGAGCACATGCATGTCTGTGCTGTTCCCTTTCTGCTTTGCACCTCCTGCAAGATCCCACTGGCGTGGCCACCTTGGCCGTGAGTTCAGGCAGACACTGCCCTGCCCCATCTCCTCCTGTGCCAAGCGCTAGTTTTTGGGGCTGGGGGTGTGCGGGAAGCTGCAACATTTAACCAGCTGCAGTAGACCATCAGTCGTGTTGGAGGCTAGAGCAGCGAGGCAGCATGGCACAGCCAGCCTGCGGTTGGATCATGCCCTGTCTCACCTGGGAAAACGCAGGAGGGGACCGGGCCCCTCGGGAATTCCCTCAGCCCATCGCTGCAGAGGGGCACGAAGCACCCAGACGCCTGACTACATCAGGCTTTTGAGATCAGCCCCATGCTGGACTGCAGCAGCCTTTTGGCACCACTCCAAATCCCTCTTGTAATCCATGTGCCAGGGTGCAGACTGACTGAAAGGCATGGGCTCAGACTCCGATCTTCTAATGAGCCTCTTTCTTCGAGGCTATGCTTGCAAGCTGTTTTCTTCCTTTTCTTTTTTTTCAAAGGGTATCCACTTTTTTGACACATCCTTGGTGAATTATAGGATTAGCTCATAGTCTGGAGAAAAATGAGTCATGAAAGCTCTTTTTATGATCTTTTCCAAAGTAATCTAAAATGAAACCTCCTCCATCTGATGGCTTTAAATGAGGAGAAATGTGTCATTGTCAAGACCGATATGAACACATGGAGAACTCATCTAGGGTGGTAGGTGCCGTGCGCTTGCAGAAGGGGTCCTGTCGTGGTAGCAAAGCCTCTATGCGTGGGGCTCACCCTGCACCACTTGGCTATCACTGGATGCAGTGAGCAAGACCCCAGCATCGTCATGCATCGCCTCCAGGAACCACTGGCAAAGGTGTCCCGGCCATCTTAACTGCACAATAAGCAGCAAACACATTTCCCAGCCTGCTCAGGCAGGTCTGGGAACAGTCCGTTACACTACCGGCACGGGCTGTGCAGGAGAAGCTAAACTTTGGATTCATAAAACAAATCACACCTTCAGATGAGCTTGCTTTTCTCTTTCCTTTTCATGTCTGTGCTGAGCAAAGGGAGGAAGGATCACAGGCAACGGGGCACAGGCAGGAGTATTTACCAATCTAAAGAGAAAATTTTTACTCTACGTGATTATGGGGGGTTGTTTGTGTCACTGTGCAGGGAAAGTGTTACAAGTGTCTTTTCCTTTCCTATTTTTATGCTCTCGATGATTTATGAGCTGCACTTTGCATGGTTGCCCTGTGCTCTCCTGCTGCTGGGGGCACAATGCATGTTTGAGCACGTTGCGGGGTGGCTTTGGCTTCCTTTTAGGGATTTCAGTGTTTAACTCGCCTTGCCTTCTGCAGGGATGCTCGGGTCTCCGGCATGGAAAACCCACGTCCCTTGGGGGCAGCGTCCTCCACCCGCAGCTTCGGCCTGAGCATCGCCCCGCCGCGACGCTTCCCCTGAGCGATGGGCTCTCCCCCTGACCCCAGCCCCTACCTTCACGATCAGGCTGTGCACGCTGTTGGCCTTGCTCTGGGGAGACATGTGCTGCTGCACGGCTCTGCGGGAGCCCTTCACCGTCCACAGGATCAGTGAGTAGGAGACGAGGATGAGGAGGCAGGGGAGGAGGTAGCAGAAGATGAAGAGGGCCAGGATGTAGAGCATGGCCTCTCTGTTCGAGGCTTTCCATGTGATGCAGCAGGCGGTCCCATAGGGCTCAGGCCCATAGCTGCCCCACTCGGCCAGTGGGGCGGTGGCAAACATGAGCGCGTAGGCCCAGACGCACAGCAGCAGGACGCCGGCGTGCGAGGGAGAGAATTTGTTGCCTGGAAAAGAGGGATCGGAGTGAGGACGGTTCCCGGCCAAAAAGGGCTCCCTGGCATGCCCTGCCCTTGCACAGAGGTGAGGGCTAGCGGAGAGCGGGGCTGCAACCCGCAGCGCCCCAGCCAAGGAGGTGAGGGAGCCAAGAGAAATTTAGAGATTTGCCCCAGGTTGCACAGCATGCACCAGCGTCAGCTCTGAAGTCTTTCTCAGCTTCTGGAGTAAACGCCAAAAGGTCTTGTCAGCACTGCAGTGCTGGGGCCTGGGAGGTGACCTCCAGTGCCGGGGAGCTTCCTGCGCACCGTGGAAGGGTGCGCGGGCTGGCAGCAACCGGCAGAGCCGGCTCGGCAGCTTCCCAACCCATCCCAGGCATGGCTGGCTGATGGACTCTTCTCCCCCCGGTGCACTGAAACATCGCAGGAGGTGGGGGACGCTGCAGCTGGGAGAGGAGGGCAGCAGAGCCTTGCCCTTCCCGTCACTGCCCTCAGCACATTTTCTCCCCTGAAAGCCAAGCTGCAAAAGGTCTTTTTCACCTTTTTGTCCCAGGCACCATCAAACGCCAAACCCTCTAACCTGCTAAGGGCTTGCGATAAAGTGCTAAATCTTCCCATATCTGTAGGAATAATGTTTTTCTTTGAAACTTAGCAATTAAAAATATATTGAGATGATTAGCCATTTCCTCACAGAAAATACACAAGGGCATTATAGGGAGATAAGCTCAAAATGCCACGCTGCCAAGCGCCAGACTGATCTAGAGAGCAAAAACCACACAGGGAAAAGCCATTGGTACCCGGCCTGCTCTTGAAGAGCCAGCTTTAGTTTTTATCTTTCCTACCACCTTTTTAGTGATCTCCTGAGATTTGTGTGCCATCAGGTGACGGAGGTGACTCTGTTCCAGCGTTGTCCTTGCGGACAAACCACACTTGTGCCCGCACAGGGGCCCGCAAGCTGTATGCGGCCAGACAGGGAGGGAGTCTGGGGCTGGTGGTCACACAGAAAGGGGGCTCTCAGCGACACGCACGTGCTGTCTGATGGACTCGGCCTTGGCGGTCGCTGAGCAAGTAACCGCTGCAGTCCTGCTTCTCCAGGTCCTGCTCTGCCAACATCTGTGAGCATTAGGCTCACCTGTGGTCGCCCACTGTGAGCCACCTGAAAAAGCAGTTACGGGAGCATGTATCTTGGAGTGTTTGTCTGCAAATCAGATTAATATCTACGGTTTTCAATTTTATTTCTATTTTTGGTCTCTAAGCCCAAGTCTATTCTGAATAATGGATGGAGGTGGATGGAGGTTTAGCAGCGGAACTGAGAAAATTAAGAAGCTCCAGATAGGAGGAGTTATAAAAGTGTAGGGGACATTTCTGGGTCCCCTCACTTCTCTCAGGTGCTCTCTGCCTTGCATGCCCTGTACAAACAGCAGGTGCCCATCTAGGGTGGGGGGGGGTCTCATCTGTGCACAAGCTTAGAGCCACAAACACTCATATAAGCTCTGCAAAGAAAGTTCAGGTGAAAATAGGTCTATGAAAGTGAGCTACAGCCCAGCCCTCCTGTATTAGTTATTTCAGTGAATTAAACAAACACCTGTGGCCTATGGTGCTCCTCCTAAGGGGCAGCACTGCTCCTGCATTACTGTTTCCATCCTCACTACAGCAGGGCATGGGACATGGGCAAGCTGCATTTCCACGCTCTGCCAGAGCGTAGGAAGTGGAGGGCTTTCATGCAGCTTCCCAAATACAGAGCCTACTCTGGTCTGAGCTCGCAGCTGTGGATGGACGTTCAAAGCCCAGCGATCTGCCTCGCACTGCTTGAATCACGCTCTCTAATACAGCATCTGGGACTTTTCTACAGAGGAAAACAACCCCTTTGACACTGTTCTGGGTGAAGCTAGCCTTGGAATCAGTGACTGCTGAAGTGCCCTGCCCTCACATGTCCACCATGTCCCTGCTGTGGGCGAAGGGACCCGGGGTTCTCCTTTAGTTGAGCTGGGTCTCCGTAGCTTCAAGCAGATAGAGGGGGAGGAACATACAAGTGGTAAAAGGCTCCTAAGTCTGCTGCACCAGTTTGTTAATAGGGAATAGGTTGCCCTGGGCCAAAGCTCTCCCAGGAGAGGCTGACCTGGCCTGTAAGGGGAGGAAGAAGAGCTATATTCACAGAGAGGGGTGTAAGTGCAGATCAGATAACACGGCCCAGCACCTACCGTATGCTGGGTAACAGACCTTCAGGCAGCAAACTGTGCTGAGCACTGTCAGGCTGGTGAGGCTGCAGAGTCCAAACAACATCCCACAAAAGGCATAGACAGTGCACATCGCGTGGTTAAACAGCCACCTGCAAGGGAAAAACCACCAGGTAAATCAAGCCATTCCCCTCTGCCCAGAGCAGCTAGCTGACAACCTCTGCCACTCTGCTCTACTTAAATTTATGTGCAGACCCTGCTTTGGAAAAATACGGGTATTTCCCAGCCTGCTTTCACACACGCTGCTTGGCTGCAGCAAGCGTAGGGCTCCAGCTGCTGCCCCACACAGGAAGCAAAGCCAGCTGTGTGGGGAGGCTGCTCGTCCCTGCCTGTCTAAGCAGCCGTGCACATGACTGTAACCCTTATTTGTTCCCTGAGCATCATAGCATCAGGCACGAATGGAGCCGCTGAGAGTGGGAGCAGCCCTGGTTCGTGCAGGCGTGCATCCATGCAGCGCCCATGCTGTGTGCTGCTGCTCAGAAACCCAGCGTCCTGCCCACCGGGTTCAATCTACCCAAAGCAGCTGTGCAGTATTTGCATGCTGCTTTTGCCAGCTGCAAAGAAGCCACAGCTGTAGTTGGCACTTTTGGCCTGCCGCTCACCTGCAAAGCTCTTTAGCAAGGATAGTAACCACCACTAAACCCATTTTAAAGATGAAGCACAGAGAAAAGAAATGACTTTCACAAGGTTTGAGGAGGTGGGACTTTCAGGCTTCTGGTTTCATGCTGCCTCTCTCAGCATAATGTTCGAAGGCAGACGCTGCACATAACGAAAAGGGCTTGTGTTAGCAGTCCAACAAGCCCTAGCTCGCACCCAGACAGTGCCTAGACCCAGTGCTAGAGCACTGTGCTGCAAGTCTAGGTTGGGAATGGATCAGCTCTGTGGCTCCTCCCGTGTTCTCCGCTGAGTCCAGCCCAGAGCAACAGCTTCGCTGCCGACACTGGCAGGCAGGCTAACCCAGGCACGGAGAGGAGGTGCTGCCTGCAACAAGTCTGAACGACAAGCCAGAGGGACAGAGAGCAGTGAAGCACCCCCCCCCCGGGCCATGGCCCACCGGCCTGGCCCTGCACCCTCTCGAGAAGGGAAGAGACGAGATGGCTGTTCCCAGGGACAGGTGCACATCTCAGACCTTATTGCTCTTATGCCCTTAGTGATGCTGGTGTGGGATGAATGTCTGTGGCGTTATCCAGCGCCCCGTTCCTCTGTCATCCACACCAGACTGATTCCTTGGGTTCCTCCAGCCTTATCCCAGATTCACCTCATCAATGAATTCCCCATTTCTAGACAAGGTTTGCAAAATGCATCTGGGGCCATTGGCTAGTGCAGAGCCTCTTCCACAAGCTACCTGTGTGCAAATAAGGATGATGTGGCCAAGGGGAACAGGGTCACCGTCATGCTCAGGTCACTGATGGCCAAGTTCACAATGAAGAATTCTGCAGGCTTCAGCATGGACCTCTTCTGATAAGCCACCAGCAGGAGCAGCGAGTTCCCAGAGAGGGACACAATGCCTGCAAAAACGAGGGAGAGAAACAATGCCCGTTCGTTTGTAATAGCTCATTTCCTCAGGCCGCAGGCAGGCTGCCCACACGCCTGCCAGGCCTGGCTCTATCCTGACCTACACTGGAGAAAGTGGGGAGAGGAGGGAGGGCATCCTCTCCCTGATTTGCACGGGAGGAAGTGCTCCATCTCCCAGCTGACTGGGCACTAGGGGAGTAGGATATGCTGCAGAGCTGAGACACAGTCTCAGAGGACAGCTGAGGGAGACTGGATCCATGAGCACAGCTAGGACTGTTCCCTGACACCCTCAAGCACTAGCAGGTTTTGCTCCCGGGGCATCTGTAAACACAGGGCTCAGGCATGATCAATAAAGCTCCTCTCTACTATAACATGACACCTTCGTCAATGGGTTGGGGGACACACTGCAAGAAAGCAACCAGGAAGATAGACCTGGGGCTTTGCTGGCTGTCCGATAAGGTGGCTTTGTCTGCCAGCCCAGACCCTTGGAGGGACACACCTGGCAAAGGGCATATGCAGATAACCAGGCATTTTCTTCATGGCACCGTAACTCCTTTGCACAGTCACAGCTTACCTTGCAATGCAGTCCTGGGGCCCCAAATAATGAGAGCCAGGGAAGGAGCTAGCATCTCCTTGAACTGTCCTGGGAGCATACACCACAGCTGTCTGCAGAGGGTGAAAAGGGCTCCAGGTTTTGCCACTGCAGAGTGGGTTAAGGGCACCCACAGGACCTACACAGATGTGTGAGCACATCTGGAGCTGCTTTAAATTGGATGTGATCCCTTCCTCTCCCTGAGGAGATCCTACAGAGGCGTTTGGAAGGAAAATTGCGATGGGACAAAGCTGCAAAGGGTGCAGGATCCGGTCAGACTTACTTCTTCCAGCTGGAAGGGGCTAGGGGGCCACTTCCTTCCAGCTAGATAAATAACGGGAGCTTTGTGTCATCATTCTTCTGATGTGAGGCCAAGGAGCTGGGCCCACTGGTGTTTTTAATTTCTTCCTGGAAATGTCACTAGTGTGAGTTTGTGTTGTCCAATATCATAGTAAAAAATAAACAAGAAGAAAGGCATTATGAAGATCAAGGAAAATCCAGACTAAACAAAGGAAGGCTCTTTGTTTGCTATTAATGTGTTTAAAACAACATTGGTGATAAAAATTTTATAGCAAGGGCTTACTCTCTCTTATTAATGTAATTGTGCTTTCATTGAAAAGAGGTATTTACATCCTCAGAAAGGGAATCTTTGATGCTGATGGACTAGTTTCTTCCCAATGTATTAGGCTACAAATTAAGTATTGTGGTAACAATTAGGTTCTAAAGCTGCTGAATGGGCAATACAAAAGTTCCTTTCATACACAGGGCTCCCACACAGGGCTTGGCCAAATGCATGGCTTTGGAGGCTTTGGAGTCGCTGGAGGGTAGAGTATTGAGACATTTGTCCCTGTTCCCAACCTCATGAGAAATTTCTCCCACAGAGCTAGTCTGGTTCCTTCTTCACATACATTACATATGTTTTAATAGCTTTATTATCTCCTAGGAGCTTTAGGTACCTGTAGGACTACTGGCAGTCCCAGCAGGTGTGAGCCTCTGTTGGGTCAGTGCATGCCTTGGGCTCCTCCAGTACATAGGCGAGTGGCTGTCCTCCTTGGCGCACTCATACACGAGGTCACCTGTGCACTCACATGTAGTTCTGCTGCCTCTCCTCTGCCTGTCCTTGCATGCTCAAGGGTATGTGGGATTGTCTGCAGGACTGCAACTGGATGGGGTGACTATTTGCCGTGGTTTTGCTCATTGCGTACTGCAAAGCAAAGAAACCATCTAACTACAATAGCAGGAGGCCCTTCCTGACGCTGGCATCAGGAGACGATGAGTCCTTTTGGTCCTTTCTGTTCCTTGCTAGTCTGGGCTGAAAAATTCTTCTGGCATTTGGGAGACAATTGCTTGGGGCTCAGAAGGCTTCTCCCTGCCCATCGTTTACTTCTAGCCCAAATGAAGGTTAGGCCTTCTCAAACCGTGTCCTAACCCCTCTGTTTTGCCTGCTGGCTTTCAGATATCAATAACTTCAAATCACAGGACAGTCACCAGCATCTTCTGCTGAACGTAAAGGCCACTGAGACATTCAAATCGTCTTTAATAGCCATGAAACTGGTGATGCTAATAGAGAGTCTCAGTCTGTCTCACATCAGGTGGCTGCAGTAGGAGTTACTGCAGGTTCACCAAACGTTGTTCTTCAGCCTTCCAAATATTTAAAAACATGAATGGTACTTGCAGTCCCTGTGAGAGACAAATGTAGTCGCCAAGCTTTAGCAAGACCACCCTTTCTGGTAATGTGGGAACAGCCGGTATGATTAACCTGGTGACAACTGAATACTTTTCTGGAAGCATCAGTAACTGCAAAAGGCCTGACATCTCTGAAAGGTAGACACTGGTGTTGCCCATAGCACAGGGAGAGGTATAACTGGCTGTCTTTCCTTACCAAAGACTAAATAGAGCGTGCCAAAAACCAGGTCTTCTCTCTCTGATAAGGTGGAGATGAACACTGAGGCGTTGGACGCATTTCCCATCTGCAAAGCAAGATACAAACACAAGCAAGTGTGAATTTTGGCTAATTAAGGAGCACTCGGCTCCCTCAGTTCCCAAGGAGGACTGCTCTCAGAGACTCTCCTGACACCGTGCTAGAATGAAGCCAGCAGTGTGCAACCACCCAGGCCCTGGGACTACCGGCTGTTACTTAATTAATGCTGAGTGTAGCACTGAAATAACTGGCAGTGCAGGGGGCTGGTAATAGGATCAGGCGGGTAATCTCACTTGATTACTGCTTCTTTAATTACAGATTATAGCAATTAGCATTAGCCTTTGGATCTAAATTTTCTTTGCAATTCTTGGCCATATGCTGATTGCAGCAAGCACTGCACATTTGGATGTGGGGATTGGCAGCTCAGAGCTGAAGGCTTCATTTTCAGCAAAGTCCAACACCTCCTCCAGGCTTGCCCCTCGCTTTCTTTGCATGTATCTGCCTTCTGCCTGCATTGGCATGTGCTGAATGACACCAAGACATCCTGGATGGGTTTAGTCAGTCACACAGACAGTAAAGAGATGCTGAAAACCTGGGCTTGAAGAGCTTGACTTAAACTGTATGGACATGGGGAGTTTGGTGACAGTCACATCAGCAGAGAGACTTGGCCCAAACTGTCCTTGTGATGTGGCCGAGGCCGAGGCCTGTTCAGGTACCATTAAGACCACGGATAACTGCCTCTACTATGAGACATGACACGCATGTGCAGAGAAGAGCAGTGCAGATAACGGGGCTTAAATCGAACTGTGACCCAGGAGACCCACAAGATGGGGAAAGAGAGGAATTGTCACTGCTTCTGGCTGTTACCTCTTTTCTTTCACTGTAACTAATTCAGATCCATGCTGCTGGCAAGGCAGGCAGTGAAAAACTTGAGAGTGATCATGCGTGTAACAAAAAAAAAAAGTAGTAGTAAAAAGTCATTCCCTTTCTTGGGGTGCCTGACTAAATCATTGAGTTTTATCAGCCTAACTAGTTTCTCTGTTATTTCATGCAACTGAGCCAAAGTTCCCAAGTGCTTAGGAAGTTAATACGGGGTAGCAGAGCAGAACGGCAGGTGCGTTTCAGCATATTCACTCTCTGCACTGATAACAAATAAATGGAAAAATATTTTGTTCAGGTGAAGAAGAAAGGAGAGGGGGTGAGAGAAAATAATGGTATAATTATATGTTTCAGTAGCTGTTAGCTTGCTTCCCAGGACATTTAATCCGTGCATTATTCCTGCTTCTTTCCCTGAGGTCCCTACCCGCGCGCTGCTGGAGAACACCGCCCTGCTGCAGAGCAATAAAATGGCAGGTCTGGTGGGAGGGACAAGGATGGGGCCTGCCTGGGCATGGTTAATGCTGAGAAGAGGTAATGCCAGCCTAGGGGCTGCTTATTCCTGCCCCATATTGCTTAGCCTTTATAGAGCCATGTCAGGAACTAGAACAGGAATTGATTTGGCCTAATGGGGAGGAGGTAAATAAAGATAGTATTCCCAGCATGGTTCCCCCAGTGATCATCCCAGCACAAGAGAGAGGGCAGGGTGGCACAGCTCAGAAACTCATCCCTTCACTTGGGATTGCTGTCCAGTGCTTGTATTAGGAGATCTTGGCTGGAGGAGAAGAGCTGGAAATGAAAACTGTCACTGGTTCAAAGTCTGAAAGAATCCCAGTGGCAGTAAATGAGGAAGAAAGGGACAGCATGTCATGTACATCTTCATAGCACCTGGCAGGAAAAAACAGCGCAGAAGACCCAGACGTACGTTAACCCTATGGATGCTTCGAGCATGAATTCCCACAGCTCCCGGCTGCTGCCCCGCCGCTAGCTCAGACTGCACCACTAGTGCAGAGCACAACTGGCTAACCAGCTGACTTCTAACTGCTGCTTTTCCATCCAGCCATGACACTGCTTAGGAGCTATCTAATGCGCTAACAGCCCTGGGAGTTGGAGCATTTCTTTCCATAAGCACCGCTGACCCTGGATTTCACAAACAGAGCAATGACAAATTGTTATCTGTACCTAAGGCAAAAATGCCTGCCTCACATCCAAAGCTGCATTCAGATGGATCTAATTACTTCAAGTAACAAGTAAATTATCTTTGAGTGTAAATGGATTTTAAGGCACTAATTAGTGTTAAATTGCTAAGAGATCCTGCCAGTAGTTCTTAGTTCAATTCTCTGTGTTACTGATCCATGCAGCCAAACACTGATGGACTGGGGTTTCTCCAGCCTGCTTCATGGCTTTCTTGGGTTAGCTTGGCACACAGCCTATGGGATGTTTGCAGCTTGCATATGTTCACTGAAGACTAGCAAGCGGGACTGTCTCCAGCATCCGATGTTAAGCAATCAAATGCTTTTATGATTAGATTATTCCCATTGGTCTGGTGTCTGACTACCATGAGTACGACAGAGTTGCCTCTGCAGGCCAGGTAGGATGCAGGTTAATTTAGTTAACGAGAGCTGCAACGGTCATTCATGGTTCTCACTTCACTCTGTTGAACTTCTGGCCTCCCTTCATGGTTCCTACTCCCCTAAAGAAGAGCAAAGGCGAAAAACACCAAAGCTGGTCCGTGCAGCCTGTCCAGGCAATGTGCGTCGCGCAGACCGAGGTGTTATAACTGAAGACAGAAGGAGCAACAGCAAGCCAGATTTTAGCTCCCTCTCTCTAGCAGACACAGCCAAACCCTTGTGCTGCTGGCAGGCTCCTACATCCTTGAGAAGTGTTCTGCCCAGGTTACTGGTTAGGCAGCTTGATGTAAATGTGATTTTTAAATTAAGCTCCATTTACATCATCCTACTAAATTAAAAAAGGCTCTAAGGAACCTGCATGGCACATTTGCCTCCTTTCACCACTGATTTATTGGCTTTTCTTGATGAGAAAGAGATACTGCACTATTTTGAAATGGCCCATCCTCCTGCCAGGTCTGGAGTCTGTCTGTAGGACTGCACGGACATTGTGAAGACAAATATGCACAGCCAGATGATGTAACCACTTCTGTCAGGGTTTTCCAGTACAAAAGAGCTTCCTGGCTACAATCTTTCACTTCAGTGAAATGACCACCACAGCTGATTATCTTAGGGATTTTTCCAGTCTTCTGTTATGCAAAACAAGCCACTCATTTAACAGCAGCATGTGCTTCACAGAGAAATGAAACCCCAGCTATTAACAGCCAGTGCGAAAGATGTTGCTACCCCTTAGGGTTTGAAATGCAAGCACAGATGAGAAAAGGTACCAATCAATGTGATTGTCCAGGCAGACTGTCAGCCACACAGATTAGCTGACTTTCCTACTTGTAGTATTAGATTAGTAGTATTTCCTACTTGAACCTATTGAGTATCTGCCCTGTCTTGTTACCAGTATGTACAAATACAATACAGCAATCTCCTGTACATCATTACTTGTATTTATGTATATGTGGTTTTGATATTTAGCCTTAAAAATTCAATCCCTCTTAAAAATTGTCTGCTAAAATATGTAAGGAAAATGTTAGCATTTTCAGCTGAGAGGCTTCCTCCTTTAAATAACATAGTACTGGCGTCAGAGCAGCAAACTGACTTGGAAGAGGAACTTTCCTTGCCAGCACGTACTTTGCAATTGCGCACGTGCCTGAACTGCTTTTTCGTATGCTGCCTGGCTAATGGACACAGCTTTCTCAGTTCTGCTTTGGCGCTGGGGTAATCTGGAACCATTCAGACACATCTGAACATCCTTATTTGTGTAATATAGTTCAGCTGCATCTATTTGCCTTTTAGAGCAAACATAATTCACAAGGTACTTGCTCTGCCCTCCTCTTACACTCTCCCTGTTCGTCCTGGGCCTTTCCTGCCTGTTTGCGAAGCAGAGAAACAAGCCCCGTCAGTGTGGCTCCACAACAGCAGAATCCGCTCATAAGAAGGTTATTAGAAGTCACTGTAACCTTCATCCACTCACTTGGGCTTTGTAGCTGTTCTAGACGGAGCGGAAACCCCCTGGCCATTCCTGGGTAATTGTCTACACAACATAGTAGCTCTACTCAGAGGAAAAAAGATGTTTAGGAAATTATCCCAGCTAATATTAACTTGGGCAGCTGCATGCTAGTCCTCAACCTGAGACAGGTAACCAGGAAATCAATTTGCTACCTGATCTTTTTGCACTTACACCACACTAAAAGCATCTCAGAGTAACCCAGTTTGCTCCTAGGCTGCTCCCAGGCATTCACTTATAGGTTTATGTTGAAGGTGCCTGTCCCACTCTGTGTCCCCAGCATAACTGATGGCACCTACATCTCTGGGAAGCTTCTCCTTGTCTGCCTGGCCACGGCAGTGTGACGTGCCGCCATCCAGCCAAAGTGACTTTTTCCATTTGCACACTGGGGCTCGCAGGAATCGCATTGACAGGAGAACTGGACTGGGGCCCATGGACCCCAGACACAGGACACCAGCACAGAGGGGATGCCAGGCACCTTCAGGCTGTCTGTCTTCACCCTGGTCTGTGTGGGGCCTGTCTCTTAGAGTAGGAAAGCTGTTGTTACCCATTCAAGGAGCCAAGAGCTTCATGCCTTCAGTGTGCTCCCTCTGCCTGGGCAGGTTGCAGAAAGGAGTAGAGCTGCTGCTCTCCTGCAAGGTCACTCCTGAGCACAAACCAGGCTCTGGGCATCGAGGACACACTGCTCGATTTCAGAGAGACAATAAATCATTTAGGAGGGGAGCATGGGGGCTCGAGGGATAGGAGAGGATTGTTTTCTCTCTTTATAAGGTCAACCATTTTAAGAAATAGATGTTCCTAGACACCTGGCATTGACGCCGTGATGTGAGCCCCTTGCAAAGGGGCACCCCAAGTGCTTTCACACATAGGATTCAAGCTGAGTTTCTCCCTTTATTGAGTGTTCATTGGAGGCTTTGGTTCTCCCTTGGGATTTTTCACTGACAATCTGGACTCAAAGGAAATGAGTCCTGGCAATCCCTAACAGGAAAGAGGGAAACATTTCACCATCTTTCTCCACCTGCTCTGTGCAAATCTTGTCCTTGGCCT